AGCATACCGTGTCCGCTACCACTTATACTGGGAAGAAAAAGGTATCTTCCAAAACTTCATGGAAAATGTATGTTATGGAAAGACAATCCATAGATTTCAAACATTTTTACAACACAATAAACTTATATTTTAATTCTGTTTTCCACAAGCTTTTTGAAGTATTCTTGTATATTTGTGTATGCATAGAGGGTCTTTGGAAGAAAACATATAAACCATTCAGCATGGCTGCCTGAACAAAGCAGAACTGAGTGAGAGAACTCTAAAAGATTTCTTTTTTTGATCTACACCATTCTGTACTTCATTATCTTGTTGAAGCCACAGGCATATAATACTTACTCCAAAAAGAAAAATCTATTTACATTAATTTACTAGTCAAGCAGGCAGAAACAAATGCCAACAGTATCTCTTAATTTGTAACTTAAAGCCAAAAAAAAAAAAGTACAAAGCAAAAAGCTGAAGTATAAAGCAAAGAGAATGGGTTGGAACTGGTCACCATCACACACAGCGTTCATGGGGTTGCTGGACTTTAAAAATGAGTCAACTCCTTCCTCAGAAGCCACTTATGAACTTATAGCTTGGACAGGATATAATTTCAGGACACACACTCCCAGAGTAGGCAGAAGACAGTGAGACACTTAACTAGAGATGATACAATATACGAAGACAACTATCTTAATAAAGCCAAATACCCTAATTTATCATTGTCCAAACCGACTTAGCCTCTCAGGGTAATCAGAGCAAAAGCACAGACTTCAGAGGTCTATCACCCAGTATGTGGCAAAGATAAAGCACCACCAGGATAGTTCTCTAACCACGTGTGACCTAGCTGAAATGGGAAGAGGCTGGAAAGAGATGAGGCATTGAGGGTGTGGTTGGGAGATTAAGTGGGACAGGGAGGAACCCAGTGTCTCTGGGTTAGAAGGATGCTCAGTTCCTAAGTCATGTAGTACAAACTTCTATCACATCCTTTCAAGATGTTAGGCAACCTTAATTTCAATACCTAAGTATTAAAGAAAAGCTACCTGAGACTTTAGATCAGTGGTGGGGAATGTCAGGTCCCCGGGCCATACGAAGCATGTGAAATCGTTTGGTTTGGCCCTGCCAAGGAAAGGTAGGTAGGATTTGAAATTCAATAAATCTATAGCAGGCTAATTTAAGCTGATAATTGTATATGGCCCACACATGATGCTATAAATATCCAAATGGATCCCCTGCAGGATCCAGATATATCTTGAAGAAATTAAAATTAATTTTAGTTATTGGACACAATAAAGAAGTAAAAGGATTCTTTTGTAACCCAAAAGTATTTTCTCTGTACATCTCCTCATATTTCTAAGTTACCCATAATTTAAACTGCTGGGTACTTAGAGAATTAAAATTATAGTATTTTCAGAATTTGTTTACACAAAAAAAAGTACTTGAAAGGCAAACATGGTGGGATTATTTTGAAAAGAAAACATTTCCGAAGATAAACATATGGGGCAGGCATTTGGCCTAGCAGTTAAGACGCTGATTAAGATGCCCATGTCCCATATCAGAGTGCGTGGGTTCTGTGCCTATCTCTCCTGCTCAGGACTCCAGCTTCCTGCTAATACAGACCAAAGAAGCAGAGATGATGGTTCAAGTGTTTGGGTTCCTGACACCTATATGGGAGACCTGACTGAGTCTTGGCTCCTGGCTTTGGATTTAGCTATTGTGGGTATCTGGGGGGTAAACCAACAGATGGGAATTATGTTTATCTGTCTCTGTCTCTATGTCTCTCAAATAAACAAACTTAAAAAAAAAAAAAAGATATGGGTCAGTGTGGGGAGCAACTCGGACTAGACTAAGTTACTGGAATTAAGACTTATTCTATGCATCTGCTCTCCCACAATATGGCGCTGGGAGAGAAGAAAACAGCTTCTACACAGCTGCCTCCAGTTCAGCCAATAAACTGTAGGACTTGCTCCTGATTGGAGGAGAGCAGCGTACTCGGCGTGTGGGCAGCCGAGTTGGGATTGGCGGAGGAGGACTATAAAGGAGGAGAGAGACGGCATGCACCGGGAACATCTAAGGGGAACATCTAAGGGGAACACCTAAGGGGAACACCCGTGCAGCCCCCGAGAGAGCCGGCCGGCGGTGTGCCGCTCCCCTGCGGAAGTGGGGAATGTGGCAGGCGGAACCGCCCATCCACGTACGTGCAAGGGACGATAGAAAAACTTGTGAAAAACAGAAATGAATAACAGAATAAGAAACCTAAAACATCTATGGCTTTCTACCCTATGGGCGTCGGGGGGCAAGCGGATGCCACTCTCGTTGTGGGGTGACCGTCGGGTCAGGCTCACCCTACACTCCCAAAGGCGAAGGCGCTTATCTTTAGTTTAATTTAAATAGAGCGAGCTAAGGGGGACGGGGTCAAACAAAGAGTATGGATGA